ACACACACACACACACACACACACACACACAGCCATCTCAAAAATATAAAGTAAATTAAAATTAAAATGATATGAAAACATCACTGGAATGTAAATACTTATTTCTTAATTTTTAATTTTTTTAACACACAGATGTAAACACGTATTTGTCTGTGCACCAAAGCACATGAAATACTTATGTAGGAAACTTTAATTGTCACAGAAAAAGAAAATGAGGTTGGATTCAGCAGGTTAATCATAAATATGCTAGGATAGATAATTATAAATGTGGAAAAAGTGTGCATAAAATTTATTTACAGCATTTTATCATTTGTGTCACAGTCTGACAGGCATATTCCTGTCAGCTCAATTTATTGCGTCCTAATTATCCTTAGGTGACCAAGGCTGCCCACTTGCTACCTGGCTCCTCACTCCACTCTTCAACCCCCAGACAGACTAAGAGCTGCGATATAATGCGCTGCATGCCCGAGCACGGTCTATTATTGAACACGCTATAGGGCATCTCAAAGGCCACTGGCGCTGCCTAGACAGGATTTGTGGCATCCTGCTTCACTCTCCACAGAAGGCATGTCACATTATGGTAGCATGTGCCATGTTGCATAATGTGGCAAATCTTTGTGGGGTGCCTCTACTTGATGTGAGTGACGACAAAGATGATCCAGACCCTGGGCCAGCACCCATAAATGAGTTAAATGTAGCTGCGAGACAGTCGTTTGGATTTCATGCAGACATTATAAAACAATACAGGTATGACCACAAACATTTTTTTTCATTTTTCAGCCAGTTTCTTTAATGACTCGCTGATGTCACTCCGAAGCCTGTTGGTCTGTTGCAATTCAGCACAAATGCCCCTAATTGTTTCAACAATTTCCCTCTGTAATTGCAGCACAGCGTCGGTTAGCACCTGGCCTGATTGATGACCTCCTTCAACTGAGGCCGGCGGTGCCTCTGCTTCAGGCACCTCCCGTTGCACCAAGTGAGGGGCTGTCAGAGGTCCAGTGTGGAGACGCTGGATGAGGAACTGGATTCCTCTGCGTCTCTGGCACTGCATTCCCCAGTTTCCACTTGAACTGTCAATAAAAAATAATATTAACTCAGTGTGTCCATTCTGCTTAATGATATGTCACAATTCACAATATATTTAATTGTCTAGACTAACATAATGAAAGTACTTTTTTACACATCATACATACCAATCATGTCTGATTCGGCTTCATTTTCTGGCAGGATACCAACGAGCGTTGTCTCCCCAATCATTGCAGCAACTCGCTCTTCATGTGGAGTCAGCGCCGGTAAACCTGGGCCTCCACCTGTGGCTGAAACACTCCGGCGATGTGCAGCAACCCTGTTCTTCACATCCACCTTGATGTCCGACCATTTCTTCTTAATTTCTGGCAGTGATCGCATTTGTGCTCCTGCCGCGTTCCCATTGCGTTTTCAGTTTCCTGCCACTCAATTCTTTTCATTATGTTTGTGATCCCAGAGGAGTGACTTCCAAATAAGATTTTTTTTCTCGCCTCAACTTCTGAAACCAACACTTCGATTTCACATTCAGTGAAATTTCTTCTTTTTTTTTTTTTGTCTAGCTTGACGCCTTTGCCATGGTTATTTGGATGAAGGGTGCGAGCCTGCCTTGAATTAATACTAATTTCCATATTTATTTGTGGGCGTGGTCAAGGTGGGCCGAGCTGCTCCAGCAGCTGCTCTCAATTTCATGCAAATTGGGATGTATAAAGGAAAGTTGCGCTGAAACCTGCGTGCACACATTTCTTTACATCTGAATATTTTGGTGCGATGCACTTTTCTGAAATTGTCCGTACGTCAACTTTTAGTGTGAAAGCTGTGCAATCCTTTATACATGAGGCCCCAGGGCTGGCGTACYCACGTTTCTGTGGTTTTGGTTCCACTGGCGACACTTAGAGGTGATTCTGAGAAATTGTTCATGGTGTGAAAATGATTATTGTTTACAGCAGACACACATGATTAACAATTATTAAATCCACATGATTAACAGTTATTACATCTACATGGACACAGTTAAATAAAAGACACACAAAGTTGAGCCAAAAACACATTTAACAGGAAGAGATTCAGCCTTACTGGAGGATATAATAAATAGTGTAACACACCACAGCTTTTATTTATAAACAGATATAATTTTCTGGTGACGAGTGGCTCATCAGCCATTTTGAGGAAAAAACATTTTTTAGTTTGGCACTGCTGCGCTCTGGGAGCGCGAAGCAGTGAATAGCCGTGTGCGTCATACGTGCACGTGCAGCAGCAGTAATTGAACTGGGGTTCCACAGGAGCTTTCCAGAGGGAGCTGGCAGACCCATCAGGACTGCGTCAGTCCAGTCCACCCAGAGCTGAGTCATGACCAATGGAAACGTCTCATCCATCTGATTCTAAAGGCTGAGTTATGGTCGCGCTCTGGAGCGCAGTGGAGGTGTTTCATACATTGCTGTAGATTTTTCCAAAATGACACATAGAAGTACACTTTACAACTTGTGAAAATGCTGTAAGTAGGAGAGCCAAAGCTTGACAGACAAACAGACTGCGCACAAAGGCTGCAGTGCGCGCAGCATTTGTGTGGACTCTCCAACGTCACGTCATGTGAACTCTACTGAGACACAGAGACTTGTTTCTTCATATCAGCTATGAAATAAACTATGATCTACAGTATGTTCTACCAAACATTTAAGTTCCTCTGTGTTTACAGTAATTATGGTAATAAACTCGTGCACAAAGTTAATATTTTCAGACTCAGAAAGGATGGATGAGCCGGTTGCGCAACACAGCAGTGTGCAAACACAAGCACACCGACACACAATCACTCGTTCTTTGCGTGATAAACATATTTTATTCCTATTTTTCTTAGGATTTTTATCACTCACACTATATTTAATTCATTATTTTTATGACATTAGAAATCATTTGTGATCACGCAGGGATCAAACAAACGTGTCCTTCACACATGCAGGAAGTAATTTACATCTGTTTAACATATGTTAGTGAAGGCGTGTCAGGGGAAGTGTCTTACTTGCGCTCAGTTCCACGTTAATTGTGATGTACAAAAGCAATGTGCGTGGATTCAGGTGTACGCACAGTTTGATACATCTGGATTTTTTGTGCGTACGCCGTTTTCTGGATTTGACCATATGTCAGGTTTCAAAAAGAAATCCATGCAAGTCTTTGTACATGAGGCCCCAGATGACTCTCTTTCCAACATGAAGACCAGTAGACTGTATGTCCAACATGCAGACAAGTAAACTATCTATCCAACATGTAGAACAGTGGAATTTCTGTCTGTCCAACATGTAGACCAGTGCACTGTCTGTCCTACATGTAGACCAGTAGACAGTCTGTCCAACAAGTAGATCAGTGGATTGTGTGTCCATTATGAACCTGATGTCACATTCAGTTATTTTTCTGTTCCAGCTGCTGGAGGACAAAATCATCTCTTTTGTAAAGAAGGAGCTGAAGAAGGTCCAGAAGGTTCTGAGTCCAGATTACCCAGAATGCTTAAGGAGTCAGAGGGAGGATGAGGATGATTTGGAGGGTGAGGATGAAGAGCAGAGGAAGAGGAGCAGAGAGGCTTTGATGAAGATCACAGTTTACATCCTGAGGAGCATGAAGCAGGAGGAGCTGGCTGAGCGTCTGCTGAGGAGTAAGAGGATTTATACKAACATCTGACCTGATGGAGACATGAAGGAGAAAATCASTAACAGATACAGAGAAATAACTTTATGATTTATCTCATTTCTTTGTCTTCATTCAGGACAAGCTGCAGTTTCTAACCTTAAATCTCGTCTGAAGCAGAGGTCCCAGTGTGTGTTTGAGGGCATCTCTAAGGCAGGAAACCCAACCCTTCTGAATCAGATCTACACAGAGCTCTACATCACAGAGGGAGGGACTGCAGAGGTCAATGATCAACATGAGGTCAGACAGATTGAAACGGCATCCAGGAAAACACACAGACCAGAAACAACCATCAGACAAGAAGACATCTTTAAACTCCCACCTGGAAGACATCAACCAATCAGAACAGTCCTGACAAAGGGAGTAGCTGGCATTGGGAAAACAGTCTTAACACAGAAGTTCACTCTGGACTGGGCTGAAGACAGAACCAACCAGGTCATCCACTTCCTGTTTCCATTCACCTTCAGAGAGCTGAATGTGCTGAAAGAGACAAAGTTCAGCTTGGTGGAACTTCTTCATCACTTCTTCTCTGAAACCAAAGAAATGTGCAGCTTTGAWGAKTTCCAGCTGCTCTTCATCTTTGATGGTCTGGATGAGAGTCGACTTCCTCTGGACTTCCACAGGAACCAGGTCCTGACTGATGTCACAGAGTCCACCTCAGTAGATGTTCTGCTGACAAACCTCATCAGGGGGAACCTGTTTCCCTCTGCTCATCTCTGGATAACCACTCGTCCTGCAGCAGCCAATCAGATCCCTGCTGACTGTGTCCACATGGTGACAGAGGTCAGAGGCTTCACTGACCCACAGAAAGAGGAGTACTTCAGGAAGAGGTTCGGAGATGAGGAGCAGGCTAGCAGGATCATCTCCCACATCAAGACCTCACGAAGCCTCCACATCATGTGCCACATCCCAGTCTTCTGCTGGATCACTGCTACAGTTCTGGACCATGTGTTGAAGAGCAGAGAGGGAGGAGAGCTGCCCAGCACCCTGACTGAGATGTACATCCACTTCCTGCTGGTTCACACCAAAGTCAAGAAGGTCAAGTATGATGGAGGAGCTGAGACAGATCCAGAGTGGAGTTCAGAGACCAAGGAGATGATTGAGTCTCTGGGAAAACTGGCTTTTGATCAGCTGCAGAAAGGAAACCTGATCTTCTATGAGTCAGACCTGACAGAGTGTGGCATCGATATCAGAGCAGCCTCAGTGTACTCAGGAGTGTTCACCCAGATCTTTCAAGAGGAGAGAGGACTCTACCAGGACCATGTGTTCTGCTTCGTCCATCTGAGTGTTCAGGAGTTTCTGGCTGCTCTTCATGTCCACCTGACCTTCAGCAAACATGGACTCAACCTGATGGACAAACATCAAACCAACTCCAAGAAGTCTAAACTTTTTAAGAAAGTAAAACTAAAGTATGTCCATCAGAGTGCAGTGGACCAGGCCTTAAAGAGTCCAAATGGACACCTGGACTTGTTCCTCCGGTTTCTCCTGGGTCTTTCTCTGCAGACCAATCAGACTCTCCTACGAGGCCTGCTGGCACAGACAAGTAGCTCACAGACCAACCAGGAAACAGTCCAGCACATCAAGATGAAGATCAGTGAGAATCTGTCTGCAGAGAAAAGCATCAATCTGTTCCACTGTCTGAATGAACTGAATGATGCGTCTCTAGTGGAGGACATCCAACAGTCTCTGAGGACAGGATGTCTCTCCACAGATAAACTGTCTCCTGCTCACTGGTCAGCTCTGGCCTTCATCTTAATGTCATCAGAAAAAGTTCTGGATCATTTTGACCCAAAGGAATATTCTACTGACCAGAGGGTTATTAAGAGGCTGCTGCCAGTGGTCAAAGTCTCCAGAAAAGCTGTGTAAGTACAGATACAGTCAGATGTTTCTAAATTTATTACTGTGGGTTTCACAGCAGAGGAACTTATAGATTCCTTATAACAAGGTTGAGTCAGGTCCTCTGTACCTTCTGTCTTTTATCCAGAGACTTTTTCAGTCTGAAGTGTTGCAGATAAAGTCAATCTTATCAGAATCAGAAACACTTTATTGCCAGTAGCCATGTTTCCATCCAATTTTAATTCAAATTTTGAGCAAATTTTAATAATTTCGCAAAAAGGAAAAAATGAAGAAATGCAAATCAGACGTGTTTCCATCAACTGGCTTGAAGCGAATCAATTATGCCATTCACATGTGCGTAGTAAACATGAAGTAACAGTCGCTAAACTGGCAGGGTCCACACATCTCAGGATAATGGAAAGAAGTTATCAGGAACATGTTGCTACTATCAGGAAATTTGTAATTATTCTGTTATCAACTAGTTTTGGCAATGTTACTGCTGTCTGGAGACGTAGTGAAAGAAATTCAATTTTCTTCATGTTACGGGATTACTGAGAAGACGCAAACAGTGGGAGGAGGGTTTTGCTGCCAGTCGTGGCTGCAGCCGACTCGAAACTGGTACCGGTACCGGGGAACAGCTGATCAGTTACGTGAGGTAAATGTTCGCTACGTCACAACTCATTCGGCAAAAGTGTTTCCATCTGTCCTTTTGCGCATTAAGTGTTTTTCGAAAAACCCTAAAACCACCTCAAGCGAGGGGATCAGCTTTTATGCGAATCAGAATACGTTTTCTCAAATCAAACCGTTTCCATTCACCTTTTCTGATGTGATACTCCAAAATGCGCATTAAGAAACGTTGATGGAAACACGGCTAGTGTCAGCAAGTTAAAGACTAGGAATTTGCCCTGGTGTAATGATGCGCATATGCAAGGAGTGAAAGATTCTGCTGAGGAAAGCATGTTTCTGCTGGTAGGGTTTCTTCCTGATTAGCAGGGAGTTATTCCTCTCTACTGTTTGCTCAGGATGGGAGAATGTGATGAAGTGATTCAACACAATCTGCCAGTTTCTTCTTTAGATTGTTCTTTTTTCATGTACAGTGCCCTGAGACAATGTATGTTGTGACTTGGCACTATAAAAATCAACTGAATTGAAATTAATTGAAAGTGAACTACATGAATCTAAGTGGTTCAAAGGAAAACAATTCAAGAATTTAATAAGAAGAAATATGAAGATAAAAAATACAAGCGCGACTGGCAGTGATGTGCCAGAGCCAATTAATCGTTGTTCATTAATCTAATGGCTGATGGGATAAAACTGTTCTTGTGGCAGGAGGTTCTTTTCCGAATGGACCGTAGTATTTTGCCTGAGGGGAGGAGATGAAAAATGTTATGATTGGGGTGAGAAGGGCTGCCGTGATTCTGCCTGTGCAACCTAGAGTTCTGGAGGAGTACAGCTCCTCTACAGGTTGCAGCTGATCACCATCTCGGCAGTGCGCACAATGCTCTGTAGTCTCTGTGTTTCTCTGCCTGTGGTCCCAGTGTACCATACAGTTTAGTTTAGTTTAGTTTAGTTTGTTTAGTTTATTTATTTCAATCATGAATTGAAATATGAGTACAAAACA